CTAACACGTACCCGAACCCTATAATCCAACCATATATATAAGAACCATTTATTACAAAACACTATCTATGGTGGGTCCGGAACTCAAGTGGGAAAAAAATTTCGCCGACCGCCCCGGCCCTGTGCCCCCGCATCCGCCACTGCTTTGGCCTTTCTACAAAAATTTGCGGTTTTTGTAAAAGATAAAATGTGAATTTTTTGTCAAAGTATAATCCCGTCTAATATTGCTGAGAGGGTCTATGTCCCCCAGGGTACTGCCGGAACGTACCCTGGTACCAGAGCATATGAATCAACGTGATTTATATGCTCTGCTGGTACTATCTAATATGCCGGACCGTACTTCGCCTACGCCACTAACGAGTCTAGGGAGTCGCCTACGCCTACTCCCTAACCCTAACCATATCATATAGTTACCAGGGTACGTTCCGGTATACCGGACCGTACCCAGGGTACGTTCCGGCAGTACCCTGGGGGACATAGACCCTATGAGCTCTAATATTAGAAATGGTGTAATTAAATCTAAGCGGAAATAATGTCCTTCATTATTGTTGAATGCATGTGGCTTTTCATGGAAATCTTATTACATACTGACTTTGCTGCTAACTATTATATATCTAACCTAGTTGCCGTAACCTAAACGATGAGAATTTCATATAAAACAAACACTTACAAATCATTCAGGCCACGTAGAGTGCATGCGTACCCACCCGGACCGACAGTGTGCGACGAAGTATATCTTTATAAAGATGTCATAAAATTCAATTCCATGTTGCAGCACATTAACCAAAGCTTTACGACTGAGGATGAATCCGATTTAAAAACACAACAATCCATCGTTTCCACTGCTCAATGTCTCCCTCCTAAGTCAACCTTCAAGTGATTCCCATGAAGTCACGTGACAGCACCAAACCTCCAACATAGTGTAATCGCAGCCAGGTTATCTCTACAGTGGAGATATAACACCGCGGTTGAAGCATTTATACCGCGGTTGGAGCATTTACACCGAGGTTGGAGCATTTACACCGAGGTTGAATCATTTATACCGAGGTTGAATCATTTATACCGAGGTTGAATCATTTATACCGAGGT